GTGCTAGTACCATGCTGTTTTGGTTACTACCACTGTGTAATAGGTTTTAATGTAGGGAGTGCTATGCCTCCCTCTTCATTTTTGTTTTTCAGAAGTGCTTTGCTGAATGGACTGAGAAATTGTGGTACATTCACACAATGGAATACTATGCAGCACGCAGGAGCAATGGTCTAATAAGAATAGTACATAACTTGGGAGATATTGGAAAGCATTACGCTGAGTTAACTAACTCAGCCTCATAAGGACAAATACTGCATAAGACTATTATTGAAAAAATAGAAAGATAACTAGTAAAACATGTATAGGAACCCAAGGGATAAAGGAGGGGAGCAGTGGGGTAAGGGTAGGTAGGGGCAACACCTCAGGTTTACACAATTTGTTGGGTGGAGAGAGGGAGGGAAGGAAATGGGAAGGATCTGCTGGGGACCTATAAAGATAATGATGGGCAAAGTCCAATGGTGATTGATTTTATAAAACATAATGCATGGAAATGATTGTATGAAACACAATGTTAATGAAGACTAGTGTGAAACACCGTGTAAAAGAATTCTGTGAGTAAATCAATTTAAAAAAACAAATCACAAACCCCAGCCCTCTGTGAGGCAATTCAACTCTATCATCCAAGGTCACTATGAGTTGAAATTCATTTATCAGCACCTAACAACAGTAAAAAGATAATGAAAAATATAGTTTGGAAATTAAAAAATTATCTAAGGAACCTATGAGTCAGAGGAAATGTTTAAATATTTGTGACTAAATGACAATAAACCTGTTAAAATGTTGAGCACAAATGAAGTGTTGTTCAGAGGAAGATATATGCCTTATTTGCAATGATTTTATTTGCAAAAGGAAAGACTAAAAAACACTGAACTAAATATTTGCTGGAAAAGGTAAAAGGCATCGAAGAAATCTAAAGAAGGAAGAAAAGAAATAGCAAAGAACATAAATCCATGAATATAAACATTTCAATGATTTAAATTGTCACCAGGGTTTGTGCCCTTTTTTTAACACATGAGCTCTGTAAAGACTTACACTGCTAATCCACACCTATCTAGAGGGCCAAACTCACCATCTGCTTTGTAGGAGAAAGTGAGCAATCTCCTCCCATGCAATTTACAGCTTCTGAAGACTCACTGAAGGGTCACCTCTGAGTTGGTTCTCTGAGTCAAGCAGAGTTGTTGAATGATTCAGAAATGGACTGGCTTGTAGGGGAAGAGCAAGTACACATCCTTTAGACATAAGTAGGTTCCTCTCTTATGATGGGGTATCTATAAGGTGGAGGGGACTTGTTTATCTCAAATCTGTTCTTCTTGTTAAATTGGCTTTCTATCAGTAATCTGTTCCTGTGTCTGCCATTCAGTGTCTGTAGATAATAACAGTTTCGTTTGCTAGAACATTGTAAAGTGCTTGTGCGCATAACCTAGTGACACTGGCGGGTAGAGGTCTCATCCCAGCATGCTTGCCGCTGGTTGTAATTTGGAGGCAGCAGGCATGTATCAACACAGAGTTCACAAACCAACCTTGCACTCCTCGAATAAGTCCTACTTGTCCACTGTGCATTGTCCACAATGCCATGTCTCATTCTTCATATTTTATCTAGATATATAATGTGATGTTGAATTGTTTCCTAATATTTTATCTATATAAAATATTATATGTGCATCTAATTGAATAAATTCTATTGGCCTCTATTTTAATTCTTATCTGTCTTTTTTATTGTGACTTAAGTCAAAGTTTACAAAAGAAATTGATTTTTCATTCAAGAACACATACATATTTAGTTCCGTAACAAAATTTCAATACCTACTATACAATCATACATTTTGTTTCGTACCTCATTTCTGTTTATCCTTCCATATCTCTCTGTATTTTCCCTTTCTTTAGAGATATTGTGCTGATTATCTTAATGAATACTGCCTTTCCCTTCAGTGTGCTGTTTTTATTAGGCTTACTCTGGTATCATAGTGCATTGAAGTTCTGAATTTTAACTGAAAGGTTTGCAGTTCAAATCCACCTTTAAGGGAAGAATGTAAGCAGTTTCCTCCCATAAAGATTTGTCACCTTGGAAATCTGATCGAAGGTCACCATGAGTCAGAATCGATGGTGGTGGGTCTGGTTTTTACTTAGGTAACATTCTAGTCTTGCTTTAAGAATCAAAATGTGCTCACGTAATTTGTAGGGGGCTTTGGTGGTTTTAGTGGCAAGGAGTTAGTTGCTCTTGCTCTGTCAACCTGAAGGCATCAGTTACTCCATGGGAAGTTGCTCAAATATTCTGTTATCTCCTAAAACCAAAATCAAGTAATTACCAGCTTTTACCCCCTCTCAATCAGGTTTCTGAGGCTGCAAAACCTGATAGGAGCAGACTGCCCATTTTTCTCCTTCGGAGCAGCTGGTGGATTCAGACCCTCAATACCAATGCACTACACCACCAGCGCTACTTCTTACCTCCTCGAACTCAGCCACACTGCCATGGAGTCAATTCCAACTCATAGCACCTCCACCGGCTTTCCAAGGCTGCCCATCTTTCTCCCTAAGTGACTAGTGGGTTAGAACAGCCTGGGACACACAACCTTTTGGTTAGCAGTGCAACGTATTACTGACTGTGCCACCTAGAGAGAATAAGTGGTTACAGTTCTCAGGTAAACCCACAAGTTATCAGGAAACCCTTGATACCTATCTTCTGCTGTATTGTAGTGCAAGGGACAATGAGGCTCAGGAATTAGGTAAATCTCTGTTGATGCTTTTGTTGCTGTTTTTGTTAGCTGCTGCTGAGTTGATTCAGATTCATTGAGACCCCACAGGTCCTTAGTGAAACTGTTCCATAGGATTTTAAGGGAGCTGTGGTGGCCTAGTGCCAACCCAAAAAGACCCATGGCTCAAAAGCACCAGCTGCTCTGCAGGAGAAAGATGGACAGTCTCCTCTCATATGATTTACTGTCTCTGAAAACTCACTGGAGGGTCAGCTATGAGTTTGCCCTGACTCAAAGGTACATAACAGCAACAGCAAAGGGTTTTAAGGCAAATCATCTTTTTGAAGTATATCACTGGGCCTGTCTTCTTGGTTACCTAGAGAAGGATTTGAACTGCCAATCTCTTGGTTGGCAGGAGATTGTTTAATCATTCCATCTGGCTGCTGGAGAGGTTTTATAAAGGACCAAGAAATGGAAGGGGACCTTTGCTTCAAAAGGGGAGAGCATCAGCCTTCCCTTTCCCCTTTAGAACCAGGTGCCGAGTCATCATTTTCAACTCATGGAGGATCCTGTGTATCAGCAGAATCATGTGCCCTATGGCTTTCCCTGGCTGATATCTGGACAATAAATCACTGTGCTTCTCTTCTGTTTCCTTAGCATCCCCATTTATACCACCTACCACTCCTTCATTTTATAAGCAGTGAGAAAATGCCATTCTTCTTATCCTTCACCCTAAGGATAAGACATAGTTGGCCCCCTCATTTAGTGTGGGGTGTTGACTAGGAAATCCATCTCTAATCTAAAATTCTTCTTGTGTATCTTTAGGATAAAGTTAAAGGTTGAATATTAAAAGCTCAAGAGTTGCTAAATGATGCAAGATAGTATTCTGATTTATCTTTAGTTACTTCTTTTTTGTATCTGAGTCATCAAATTAGAAATTAGAAAGTGAAATGATGTTTTTATTTGTGCCTTCTGGACCCACCACAATAGCCTTCATCCCTGGCAGATCATTTATGCATTTATAAATGTACTTAAAGAAATAAATAAATTTCTTTCATAAATAAAGTTGTCTGACAACTTTATTCAGCCTTTCTTCTGTTTAGCTCCCAAGTTTGCTCCTCCTCCCTTTATCCATTCTTTGGGGGGAAGGTGCGCCATGCCTTCTCCACCTGTGGCCCACCATGTATGCCCTGTGCTGTCAGCACAGTGCTAAACAAATCTGGCTGCTAAGTGAAAGATCAGTGGTTCAAACTCCCCAGCAGCTCAGCAGAAGAAAGATGGGCTGTCCCCTCCTGGAGAAATTTATAACCTCAGTAATTCAGCCATGAGTTGGAATCAAGTTAATGACAGTACACATGACTTGGATTTGGTTTCTGGGTTTAGTTGGTTTAACCACAGTGGGATTTGGACAAATTTTAGGGAAATAAAACCACCCGAGGCCAACTTCCATCCTGTCAGTGGCCTCTATCAGTTCAGTTTCTCCCAAAGAAACTTCTGCATCTTCCCTTTGCTGATGCTAGGTGCCACTCAGAGAGTTTATTCTGACTCAGAGTCACTCATGTGCAACGGAGTGGAACCATCCCCAAAGGGGTTTACAGGGTGGGAGGATGGGCAATCTCTCCTTTTACAGTTTACATCCTCAGAATCCCAGTGGGTGTGTGTGTGAAGGGGGGGTGTCACTGAGTCAAAACCAACTTGATGGCAGGGACCTTGAACTTTTAATCCTTATAGGAGCACATCACCAGTCTTTCCTTCCCAAGAGCCACCCAGTGATTTGAAATCTCCATCTTTTCAGTTGGCAACTCAGTGCTTAGCTTATGCATGTTTGTATTGTCATCTTCCTAAATGGAAAGGGGGAAATGCAAAGAAAGCCTAACGGCCAAGGTATATTCTATTTCATGAAAAGGTAGCAAATATATTGTCCTTAAATCTTTTTTCCCAAACAGGTCTGTTTCAGGGGAGGGGGAATTTAACAACAAAAATAGCTCCAAAGAGCTGGTCACCAGTGTCCTTTGCTTCTCATTTTAAGTGCAGAAGGTCTAGTGTGAGTGCTTCACCACGCCAGCTGAGACAATGCAGACACAGGATTTCTCTAATCTCCTCCTGGAAGTGATGCCTTAATGAGCTTCACTGGATGAGAAGTTTCTCTCTTCACTCAACGTTACCTGTGGATTTAGCAATGGGCAATGTTCAGAGCACTAACATTTAGAGGTGGTGTGAAGATTCAATGCGGACACTGTGTGCTGTCTAGGTTCACTCCCAGCTATTCTTGGAGAGCTTAATGAATTTTTTTTTCTTCTCTCTTCTCAGGTTAGAATCCCCCACCCGGAGTCTCAGCATGGATGCCCCCAGAGGTGTTCATATCAGAGCGCGTGCTGGGAAGATGGAGGGCCTCTCTCAAAAGGATATCAGATTGCATAGCAGCGATGGGATGGTAGGCTCCCACTATAATTCCTGAGGACACTCGTGAGTGTCATGTCCATTAAGATGTCTGGACATTCAGTTTAGGGTCACCATCTTCCTCTATAGACTCTCAAAGTCTGGTATTTTTCTCAAAGGTAAAATTAATATGCGACTTGACAACACAAATACTAACAAATGAAGTCATCAGGTTCTAAAGAGATTTCTTTTCACTTTCCTTGTTCTCTTTCATGCTAAATGGTCTTTGGCTTTCTTTGAAAACACTTTCTACTTTAACACTGATGACTTCGTTCTGCCTGGCTGTCACTACGTGGAACCTTCTTCAGTAGAAAGAGGAAAATACTCCAGTTCAGTGAGCCAGAGAGTCATGCACAATAAGAATATTGGTAAACATGCCGGGAGAAAACCAAGGGTTTGGCATAGGAGCTAGACTCCACACATTTGATATCCCATTATAGACTTAGACAAGCAACTGACCATATATCTTTTCTTTGCCCAGCTCTTGTGATTTTTATATGTATAATATGCACTCCAAATAAAGTGTTAGTCTATGAGTTTTCTTTTAAATACCTTCATCTTGATAGCAATTTCTAAGGAGTTTTGTGGTCTGTACTGTTTATCCGGCCAGTGTTTGGTGGGGTGAGAGAGAGTGTGTGTGTGTGTGTGTGTGTGTGTGTGTGTGTGTGTGTGGTCTTAGTTCAAGGAAAAGCATAACAAATCCCCAACTTCTCTGAGACACATCTCAGTTGTGACAATCCCCAGACCCTCCACAAAACAAGCAGATGCCAGGTCCTCCACCAGCCACTGTCCAGCCAAGATAGGGCAGTAGCAACGAAGCAGTATGTGGATTACCAGCTATTAAAGTGTGCTGAAGAGTAGAAAAATAACTGGGGGAGGGGGAGGGGAGAGGAACCAATTAATCATTGAGTGGTTCACTTTAAAATTGTTAATTTTCTTACATAAATTTCACTTCAATTTTGTTTTAAAAAGTCTATCAAACATTCAGTCAATCCAACACCTACTCATTATCAGGGATTCTTCTCCCTTCTTGAGTCCTTTCTCTTAAGCCATTCCTCCCACCACCCGTCTCAACCTACATAGACTAGATTACTGAATTTCTTATGACTAAAGCCAAATACCCACTCCTGTTCAGTAGATTCTAACAATGACCCTGCAAAGAGGTTTCTGAGGCTATATATCTGTACAGGAGGAGACTCTCTCATCTCTCTTCCATGAAGTGCCTCATGGACTCAAACAGTTGACCTTTTGATCAGCAGCCCAACTTACAACATGCGAAACCATCAGGATTCCTTGAACTGCACATAGAGCCCAGTATAGAAAGTCAAAGCTTAAGAAAGAAATGTGAATAAGAAATAGATGAACTGAAAGTACTGGATTGTAACTAATACAGACTCTGTTTCTTAAAAATACCATTTTACCTGCTGACCACGTACCAGACCACACAGAGTAAACCTTAGTGTGTAATGTTGCTAATACTGTCCTACCTGCTGCCCTCCGTAGCAGGGTTACAGAGACAATCCTAACACTAGGAGCAAATAAACACTGCAAATACCAACCTTTAAAAAGATTGGAATTCATGGATAGAGGTTATGTAAAATAAAATGTCCAACCTTGCTGTCAAGGACCACATATATTATTATATGACCAAAAAAATTTAAAAAATCTAGTCCCTTTTATTTCATTTTCACTCGTTTTAGGTTGCATGTCTACTGTTTCTTTCAGTATCTCCTGCTATGAGAAGGCAACAGAGTTTTAAGTAATATTTTAAAAGTCAGGGAAATAGCCAATAGCTAATAGGAAGAATACAATTACCTTTCATTGGAAGATAAACTCCAGATACATTCCAACACTCAAAATTAAATTAGCCAAAGAAATGCATTTCTATGGCTTGTACTTTATCCTAATGGGGAGGAAAAGTTTATTTGCATAAATTCATATGCAGAAAGAGATAAATGTGAGCAATCAAAGAAGAATGCTCCTGCTTTGGCCAAGTAAGACTGACAGGTGTTTTTGGCATCTATGAGATTTGAGACACAGTCCAGGCTTATTAACACACAAAGTATAAAATCAAAACGTGTCTTCTCATTAATCCATTTTTCCTTGCTGGACCAGCACAATAGGGAAAAAGAAATTGGGATCTCCTCCAATTTGAAGAGGCAATTATTACATCCTTCCCTAGATGTAAAATTAGAATTTGTCTACGAAATAATAGGATAATGATGAGTTAAAGTTCAAGTGTCTATTTGATTTCCTATTAGAAAGAAAACACAGGCATAGGCTTGACATTTGCGATCATCCTTCCTTTTCTAACACCCCATCTCGTTTTCTCCCATACAGCTTGTGCTGGATGCTGAAACCTTGTGTTTGCCCAAGTTGGCTCAGGCGACTGGAGGTCCCTCTGGCAGCTCAGAAGGGCTCTATGAAATCTGTGTTTGTCCAGATGGGAAGCTTTACCTGTCTGTGGCTGATGTGGGCACCACGTGCCAGGAAAACAGCCTCGTCTGTCTCTAAACCATCTGCATCCTTCACAGAATACCCAGCCTGACTTTTAGAGAGCTTTCATGCCCTCAACTGTGAGACTTTTGGCTTGACAAGCAGTTGTACCATGTTTACACCCTGTAAGACTGAGATTGTGTCTGGAGAGTAGTGGCACCCACTTTTAAAAGGAAATCAAATAAAAATGCACCAGCAAAAATAGTGCCACAGGATGCCATGGTTTCCAAAAGGCAAGTGGGGTTAAACAAATGGAGTGTCCAGAGAATGTGTTTGGTCCACATTCTGATAAATCTTCATCAGAACAGTGAATAAATTGTGACTTTTCTTTTTTGTACATGTTGAATTGCTGTGTGGAACTAATTTATGAGGCCATCTCTCAATATCTAACTCCCATCAAATGTCGCTGATAAGACTCCTGCACTTCAGAGCCTGCCCTCTAAAGTGTTTGCATTCAATCACTCGAGGCTGAGTTAGTTCAAACAGAAAGTAATAGAAATTCATCAGCTTTCAGGAGAAAATATTCGGGTTTTGACTGCACCTTGCAGTTTATCTAATTTACACAATCAAAAGAGTAAGTTACACAAACTCAGTCACACCTTCTTTATCATCAGTGAGCAATAAATCAACCTATATTTTTCCACAGACTTCACAGAATGTGTTTCCTTTCTTTAATCCTCACAACAACATTTTGAAATAGATAGTATTCTTCCCCCAAGGTATTGGTGAGTCTACAAAGGCTTGGATCAGACAAGTCACCAAGTATCTACTGAAATGAAGCCTAATCATCGTAATCTTTAAATTTGCATAATCCTCTTCACTTTGGAAAAACAACTGTCTTGTATCAACAATCTATGTGAAGGTTGTGTAGATATGGCCATAGTCTTGGACAAATGAAGAAACTGAAGCCTAAAAGGGGTTTGTCATCAACCAGATCAAATGGCTGTTAAGAGGTGAGGTCCTAACTGCGCTGCCTCTGTACTGGCCTCTCACAAAAGTCAAAACTATTTCAATTTAACTTTCTAGAACCAGACTTTCAGAGCTTCTGAAGTGACTATTTTGTGCTAATTGGTTGTATAAGTAGCTGCAAATTTCCAGCTGGACAAGCCTATGAAAGCAGAAGTGGCAATCTTTACATGGTTTTTTTTTTTGCTTTGGATCCAGTTATTAGAACTCAGAATCCTCAAAAAGCACAAGAGGCAGCAGACCAACAGCGTTGCCACCTTTTAATAATAAGATATATCTTTATCTATAAACTTACATTCATATTTATGTTCTGCAGTTTTAGAGCAAGAGATGGTAGAAAAGTCAACTTTTCCTTTTTAAGGCTGTTTTCATATGGTGTTTACGTAGCAGCATAGCCCAGCTGTAACAACTTCTCAGTTTCTAAATTGTGAAGATGCACAAACCCTGAAAATTTCAAATTATAAACATAGTGCCTCGTAAGTAGTGAAAGGCAAGCCCAGCTTTAATTACTCCTAACTTTCAAAAGGGGTTCGTTACTCTCAGATGATAAATTGCTAAGCAACTTTTCCATTAGCTCTTGACTTTTAAAATTAATGAATATGTCTTACTGTAACATTCTGATTGAAATAGACTGTTTCTGCTAAGGAGCTCTGGTGGCATTGTGTGTTGTGCTGACAGATCCACTAGCTGCAACAAAAGAAGAAAATAGGTAGTTCCTCCCATAAGGATAATAGCCTCAGAAACCCAATTATTGTTGTTATTAGGTGCCGTCAAGTACAACTCATAGCGACCCTATGAACAGCCAATCTGAATCCTGCCCTATTGTGTGCCATTCTCATAATTTCTGACACATTAGAGTGCATTGCTGAAGTAACCAGGTCAATCACCATATCAATCCATCTCATTAGAAGTCTTCCTCTCTTAGAACCACTTTGGGTTAATACAAATGTGGTATGGAAAATAGATATTAACATAAAATAGAAATTTTTCTTCTTTATCATTTTTCTTGCCCTCCTGATGCAGGAATCTGGTATGTCTTTTTTGAGTCAAAATGCCAAATAAATAACATGCTACATCTGTAAAAAAAAAAAAGAAGTCTTCCTCTCCCTTTCTGACCTTCCATCTTTCCAAGCATGATATCGTTTTCCAAGAAATAGCATTGCCTAGCTATATGTCCAAAATATAAAAGATGAAGCTTTGCCATCTTTGCTTCCAAGCAGCACTCTGCACTTTTCCCAAGACATATCTGTTTGTTCTTTTGGCAGTTCACGGAGTATTCAGTACTCTTCTCCAGCACCACAACTCAAAGACATCAGGTCTTCTTCAGTCATCCTTATTAATTTCATTGTTCAGCTCTCTGATGTAGGTAGGTGATTGATAAGATCATGGCCTGAATCAGGTGCACCTTACTCTTCAAAATGACATCATTGCTCTTAAGCATTTTGGAGAGGTCCCTGACAGCAGACTTACACAGGACAATAATTCTCCTGTTCTCCAGACTACTGCTACCAAAGGTATGGATTGTTGATCCAAGCAAGATGAAATCATTGACAACTTCAATCCTTTCTCCATCTGTCATGATGTTGACTATTGGTCTCATACCCATTAGATTAGATGGTCATTATGGATAGGAATGAAATCATTGGCAGTTGGTTTTATATGTTTCTTCTCATTTGTTTCATCACATTCATTCTATCATTCAATTATTTTAGCTGCGTGAAATGATGCGTTAAATCCCAGTTGATACAACATAAGGTACCACAGAATATTTACTTGGTTAACTTGGTTTAGAGAGTTAACTTGGTCCTTACAGGGCATGTAAAAATGATGGTGCTGAAATGGTAAAGTACTAAGAAGAGAAAATGGAGAATAGAATCTTTTGAATAAAAGGCTTAGTTTTTTGCAGGTTTTCTCTTTTCCTTACTGTAGGGGAACAAATTTAAAAAGCTAATATGAGCTAGAAATGCAAAATCTGTAAAGGATAAAAGTGATGAATGGGACCTTCTAAAGATTAACTCTCTGAGTGCATCAAAAACTTTTCCCAACAGAGTAAATAGAAAACCTCCTACTGACTGGGAAAATATAATTGATAATACCATTTCAGACAAGGGTCTTATCAAAAGTTTACAGAATTCTACACAGCCTTCACCAGAAAAAGACTGATAACACAATTACAAAATGGGCAAAAGACATGGAAAGAACTTTCACAGCGGAAGACATTCAGTAGCCAACAGACACATGAAATGCTCAAAGTCACTGGCAATAAGAGAGATGTAAATCAAAACCACAGTGAGATAACATCTCACTCCAGTAGCAGTTGCAAAGTTTAACAGGACAGCAAGTAATAAATGTTGGAGCAGATGTAGTGAGATAGGAACTCTTATACAATGTTGGTGGCATTGTAAAATGGTACAACCACTCTGGAAAACAGTTTGGCATTTCCTCAAAAAGCTGAACAGAGAAATTCTACATGACCCAGGTATTCCACTGCTTGGAATATACTCTGAGAATATAAAAACTGAAGCACAGAGATTTGTAAACCAATGTTCACAGCAACATTATTCATCATCCCAAGAACATGGAAACAGCCCAGATGTCTAACTACAATCATATGGATTTTAAAATTACGGTACATTTATACCATGGAATACTATGCAGCATGCAGGAGCAATGATTTTGTAAATCACAACCTAACTTGGGAGGGACTGGAGAGCATTATGCTAAGTGAACTCAGTCCCATAAGGACAAATACTGCATAAGACCATTATTGTAGAATGTGTATAAGGATCCATGGAGGGGAGGGTGAGAGCAGAGGGGTGAAGATGAGTGGGGGTGTGGTGGTGGTTAATCACGGGGTCATACAATTTGATGGGCGAAGGAGGAGTGGGCAAAGAGAGAGATCTGGTATGAAAAACAATGTATATAAGCTTTGTAAGTAAATCAGTGTAAAATTTAAAAAAATTATTTCAATAAAAACAACGAAAAATGCTATTATTAATAGTTATCCTCCAGATAAATAAGGGATTTACAATTGTTCAAATTAAAAGTTCAACACAGATTGTATTTAAAAATGCATTGTAGTCTATTTTCTTAAACACGTTATCCAACATAGCATAGTTGAAGGCTTGAGGTCAATAATTATGAATACAACTGGAGTCACTGTACAAAAAAGAATTTGTCAACACTCTCGAAATAATTCAAGAAGTAGCATATGATAAGAACAGATGGTGATAAAGGAAGATGTTTAACCTGCATTGAAAGCATTGGCAAAAAAATAAGACCCCAGGAATTGATGAGATAGCAACTGACATGCTCCAAACAACAAATGCAGCCCTGAATACGCTCACCAATCTATGTCAAGAAATTTGGAAGACAGCTATCTGGACAACTGACTAGAAGAGATATATATTTGTTCTCATTCTTATTTTTTTATTAATTTTAATGAACGTTTAGATAGATTTTCTATTTCCATTAATTCATTGTTGCATTTTTCTCCCTGCCCACCCCTCCCCACCAGTTAGCTCTTCTCTTCAAAAAGTAAAATAAAAATTCTTTCACTGGTATACAATCCACCCCTGCACCCCCACCGCCCAGTGCACTCCACCATGCAATCTTCATTCTGGACTCTTGTCATGACCATAATAACCAATCACATGCCACTTTTAAACTGTTCTCTCCCTCATCTGTTTCAATGCAGTATACATAATTTATCCAATTTTTCAGTCTCACCCCAATCCTGATGTCATTCCTGTTCTACAACAGTGGCACTATACAGCATTTGTCCTTTTGTGACTGAGGTATTTCACTCAGCATAATGTTCTCCAGGGTCACCCATTTTTAATATTGCATGAATTCCTTGTTTTTCAATGCAGCATAGTATTCCATTGTGTGAATATACCACAGCTTCTCTATCCATTTGTTTGTTGATGGGCACCTAGGTTTTTTCCAACTCTTTGCTATTGTGAACAATGCCACGATAAACATGGGTGTGCATATATCTTCCTGGGTGTCAGTTATGGTTTCTTTATGGTATATTCCCAGTAGAGGAATTG